TAGTGGGTCACTTTATAACTTTACCCAACATCATAAGTCACTTTGGACTACTTAGACACATTTGATGTGGTTAAATACCATAGTAACCTCAAACCCCGCAACTAAATAGTGTTTTACTTAGGCTTTGTAATTAATAGTGAGCGATACCGACTTTGAGTTAACATCGAGGGTTTGAAGGAGAGCGGCGACGACGATATGACGAAGGCGAGCGACGACAGCGACACGACGGTGATATGACGACTTAAACGGCCTGCAAGGAAGTAGCGGAAGGTGAGTTTTTATGGCCGATTTAGATGATTTAGGCTATTTGTTTGTGTATCTTGGGTTGTGTTTGTCGGTGTCTGGTTTTATGGGATTAGCTTGATTTGGACGGATCTGATTAGTTTATTGAAGGAAGACGAAGTGAGTTTTGTAGGCGATTTTTTTTTCCAGAATTAAGCTTCTAGAGGTCTTATCTGTTCTTGGTAGTGTTAGAAGAAATTTTGTTGAGTTGATTTAGGAAGAAGGTATACCTTAGAAGTATTAGAGAGTTTATCTGGTATTTAGTGGATGAAAAAAAGAAGAGATCGGTTTTAATGAGGTTATATTGATTTTTCTTAGTACCAGATATTGTTCGTGATGATGATGAAACAGAACCAGTAAGCTTATTCTCCGTACAAGGAGGATTGGTTTCTTCAACATCATCATCAACTTTGTGAGTCAATGGGTATAAGAAGATGCAGAAGACTAGAAGACTGAAAAGTGCTTGGAAGTATGTTGATAAGCTAAGAAGTTAGAACCTTGTGAAGTTGAGTGGAAGCTTGTAGAAGCGCTAAACTAGTCATATAACAAGTTTATTCCGAGTCGTATCCCGCCGGAAGAAGGAAATTTGTTGCCTAGGTTCTGCTTAGGAAATAATGGGTGTCACAAAAGTATAATCTTTCTTTGAAATGAGAAGAAATGAGCTAATGAATATCATGAAACGTGTTCTATGTCTTTCGGAAATCCTTGCAATTTCTATGAATTATTTGTGTACAAATGAGACTTAATTTACATGAGAATGATTTATACTATGCAGTTGTTTGAACATATTTATTGACAGAGATAAAGATTAACACTCATTAAGAAATGAAGTATGCCGCAAAATATGTACAATTATATAATAGTATCCATGTGTACTCAGTTATAGTGATATCCATATGTATATTATATAACACTATTCACGTGTACACCGTTTGTAAGGATATCAACATGTACATTGTAACATCTACACCGTTTTAATCATGGAGTTTAACTCGGCGGAGGCAGTTGACGGTTGGGAAGTTCGACAAAGAACTTAGTTTTAGGATGCAATTGTTTCCAAATATGTTGTTGGAATGGATAATAATTTTGAGTTCACAAAAGTTGAGATTTGAATTTAGAAGTTCCAAATCCTCTTTTCTTAGTATAAGGCAATGTGAAAATGTGTTCCTTTTGGGAGTACAATGCTTTAAGCGGATTTCAAGTGCAAGTAATGTTCTTTTTGTAAATGAAAAGGTTTATGTTTTCACCGGAGGAAGACATGCTGAGTTGTGTAATAGACGGTCCAAACAGAAAATTACCTTCCATCAAAATCACAATCTCGTTTTATAGTAAGTACAAGGTGTAAGTATAAAATTTGTAAGTGTGTAGTTTGGGTATCTTTGTACACAAAATTTTGTCGATCCACATGTACAAGGTGATCACGTGTACACTGTACTATAAGTATCTACATGTACAATGTTTAACAAAAAACAATTTGTACACCTAATTAGTAAGCCTCATTTCCATCCTATACACCTACAAAATATTCATGTGGATACTTTGTGTAAGGTCATAAAGAATGTAATTATTGACGTAGAGGCTTACAAATCCTCTTCTAATTTATTTTTAACATATGTACTGTGAAAAGAGTATCCACATGTACACAATATTCTACGATCGTCATGTACAACATATATTACAATATTCATGTGTACACACATATACTATCTGAATCACCATCTTTGTGAGAGATGACTTTCACGTTCAGAAAGAGACCATTGGTACCTGACCATTGGTACCTGATCTCAGCTAACTAACTTGGTGAACGCATGATTCCTCAAAGTAGGTGATGCCTCAGTCATTTCGTATGGCTAGTTTGATGTAGTTGTCCATTGCAGAGAGGTAGCGTCAGGTACTGGTTAACCATCAACGTTAGCGCTGAAGTATATTAGCTGGTAAACCCTGCAAATAGTAAGCCATAACAGAAACTTTTAAATACAAGAGAGTTTACAAAACTTTATCGTAAAGTGTAAATTAACTCTAAGTGGAGATAGCTAAGGCCACAATGGAAAGCGCAAGGTGCAAAATATAATCACTAAACAAAAATATTTGTTACTTCTGATTCTATATCTTAAATGTCAATTATAAGCATGTTCTTGTAACCATATCTGAAATCAAAATGGCACAACAACCTAATTGAACCTAGTCGTTTTGCATCTCATACGCACCACAACAACTTATCTTCACATTCTCAATGCTTATAACTTTATATCATCCATGAAAATAAAGCATAAGAATCTATATATTACACAGACTTTTAGAGATTGAAATCAATTTAAAAATCTTAAGAGTATCCAAACCTCTAACTTCCTCTCCACATTATCGACAAAACAAAATCTGATCTTTATAAAGCTTACAGCTTTTTCAATCAAGAGACTGAGACGTCAAAGCATCACCAGCTTCATTGGAGGAACATCAGCGGAGGTACAGTCTTTAGTCGAAGGAGCTTCATCAGAGATACATACGTCGTGACTCCGTTCATGTGAGAAAACGCCATGACAGAGAGCTCTGTTAATGTGAGAAAAAATACCACTGTTGGAGGAGCTTCATTGGATGATATTGAGAACTCTATTCATGGAAGAGAGAAAACAATGATATTGAGAGTTGGCTATGGGTCTTGTCCAAGATATAAATAGATCCTATCATCTCTTTTAGATCTCAGATTTTGGAATCACAAACATCTAAATTTGGTTTGGTGAAGATATTCCATCATAAATTGAAGGCCAAAATTATAATTTTGGTGAGCTTACCGGAGATAAGAAAAAAACTAAGAGAAAGAAACAGAGAAAGAAAGAAAAAAGAGATAAATTAATATTTAATAACTTATTAGTTAGTGTATAAGTAGAAATCAGATATGGTTAGAGAAAAGTGTTTTAATAACAAGAAGTGTTCTAAACTGTAATAAGAAAGTAGAAAAGTGACTCTTAGTGTAATTTTTTCTTATTAGTTTCTTCCTTTGTTCTAAAACTCATCCGTTTAACCGATTCTACAGCTGCAAAACGTTAGGCGAGAGGTGAACATGACGATCTTATTCAATTCGGTTGAATACTATAATATTCACATAAAACCCGTCTAGAGCGTGGAATAATAAACTGTAGACGTTTAATTAACTAATCTGTCTATCCAAAACGTTAATTCTTCTATTTATGTTGTAATCAAAAAATTAGTCGAATAATTCATCCATTTAGTAGTTTATTGATTTGCTAACCTAATCAAAAAGTAATATTTATATTTTAATATCCCAGTTAAAAGAACTAATAGTTATGTTTTATAATCTAATTTATTGTTTGTAATAATAAATGCCATACTAGCTATAAAATATTTTAGTATACATAAAATGTTTAAAAAATATATAAATTATTATATTATATATCAAATATTGTATTATACATAAAATGTATAAAAAATTAGTACTCTCCCAAATACTCCCCACAGTTTTGTTTCTTTAACTTCCTTGGAAAGACCATACGCATTGCGCTTAACATTTCCGAAATAGATGTAAAAGCATCAATGAATTCATAAACATCTACTTGCCCGAGAGGCTTCCACATAGTAGCATCTACCTTGAACCGTGTACAATGAAACTTCTATAAATTAATAATGTTGGGACTACACCAAAACTATAACTTTTTGTTAATTTGTAGAAATTATTAATTTATCGATATACTAATTGAACCAAAAACTCAATTTTAAACTATAAACTAGATTTTGACCCGCGCAATCGCGCGAGTGTTTATTTTCGTTTATAGTTAGTTATATAAACATCTTTTTTTCACTTGTAAATTGGTATATATTATAGTAATCACATATTTACGATATATATAGTAATTTTTCCAAACATAATAATATTATATAATACGTGTTTTCATCAAATAGATTGTTTCAAATTTTCTATATTATACATGTTTTTAAACATGTGTTTGTTTCTTCTTCTTCTTCTATATTTTATTGTTTATTAGATTAATATTTCATTTTTAGATAAACTAATATAAATAGAGCTTGATTAAATATTAATATATTTTAATTTGAAAAGATAATATGAACTTCAAAGAAATTTTTGCTAAAAACTAAACTTATAGCTTTATAAATTAATAATATAAAGAATTTTATTAAAAATAAAATTTTTAAAGAATTTCTTTTTTTTTAATATAATTTTAAAAATTTACATCGAATTTAATTTATCTAGTATATATAGCGGGTAAATTTTGTTAGGGTATATAAATATTCCATATTACGAATATGTGATTTTTGTTAATATATCGTGGATACATTTAACTATTATTGACATATTTCCTTATAAATAATAAAAGATTCCTAAACTTATATCTATTGACATATTTTGCGTGACTAAGTTAGAAGGTGTGGGGTAATTTACCAAAACCAAATTGTTAAGCGTATCTTTGTTATTATGAATATGATTTTTCAAAAGATATAATAATGATAAGATTATTAGAGAGTTAATGTAACATAACTTTCTAGTAATAGTCCATTTTTAAAAAAATCACACATGAAGTCAAGTCATGACTTCTGTTTTAATATATAAGATTATATTATTTTATAAAGATTTTTAGTGTATAATAATTTATATAATATTAATTTAAAGAGTTTATACTATAGTATGTTTGGTTGATCGATCTTAAGAAACTAAACCAATTCTGACTAACGTTTACCGAAAGGAAGAAACTAACAATGCTTTGCATATTGTAGCTTCGTTAATATATTTTATTAGATCATAAATTAAAAGTCACATTTTAAAACAAATCTTGACACACACGAGTATAAACACTAAAGCCTAAATGCTTTACCGTTGCCCAGAGTGAGCTATTATCTACACACATGTGAGATGGCTCAGTGTTCTTTTTGTTCTGTGTGTTTTCTATCTAACTTTTAAATATGTGCAGATGGTTCAAGCAAGACCGGTTTCACATTCGGTAAGCAGAAGGACTCGAACCGTGGCTCAGTCAGATCCACTGGTTCCTCTTCATGTGCACTCCTGCTCCCACCTCTTGACCATCCTACTTTGCTTTCTTTCTTCTTATCATTACCCTGGCAGCACAAATATAACCAATATCAAGATTCAATAGTTTTAAAACCCATAAATGATCAGCGTTTAGAAACATTACCGGAAAGAGATGATTGATGGGGAAGTTTCTACGTCTGGAAGTATCTGGCATGATGGTAGAAAGAATCTGAACAACTTCTCTCATTGTTGGCCTAGCCTCTGGTTCTAGAAGCAAACACTCTTTAGCAAGATATGCCATTATCTGCATCTCTTCTTCAGAAAACTTCCCGTTAAGTCTTGGATCAGGAAGCTCCTCAATCACTCGCTTACTGTCTTGTAAACGCGGCATAGCCTAATACACCAAGTTTCAAAGACTTAAGACTTTGTTGGTTCAAAGATTCATAAACTAGTAGTACTGTTGTTAATTACCCAAATGACAAGACTTTCTTCTCCTTTGTTGTTGCTTGGTTTCTGTATCGGTTTTCTTCCTGTTATAAGCTCAAGAAGAACAACACCGAAGCTGAAAACATCTGACATAGGTGAAGCACATCCTGCAATTGCGTACTCTGGTGCGAAGTAGCCAAACGTTCCTTGCAGTCCCATTGTTGGAGAGCTTGAACCACTTTGTAATCCGTCGCTACTCAAACACTTGGCCATCCCAAGATCTGTTATCTGTTACAGTTTTTATACCCTTTCAAGTTCAGTTCTGGTCTCATTATAGAAATTGTTTACGGAAGGGTTTGCTCTTTACTTACTTTTGCATGCCAATTTTCATCAAGGAGAATGTTAGTGGATTTAACATCTCGGTGCAAGATTTTTGGAGCAGCAGCTTCGTGTAGATACTCGAGCCCTCTTGCAGCTCCAAGAGCGAGAGAGATTCTGATGTTCCACGTCATTTTCTCCCCCAACTCTCCATCTAAGCAGTCTCTCAGATTTCCATAAGACATGTACTCAAAAACCAGAAGCCTCTCTGCATGCTTGCCATGAAACTCCGAACAATATCCAATCAATGGAACCACATGGTAATGATGAAGTCTCGATAATAACTCTACCTGCCAAAACCATTAACACACTAATTCACAATCTTGATCAAATATGAATACATAAGTAGCAGGGAAAAAAAAGGTTTAATACTTCTGTTGAGAATAGAGTGTCGTTGTCGTTTCCTTTAGGAGTATTTAAACGTTTGATTGCAGCGGTTTTACCATCTCTGAGCTGTCCACGGTAAACACAGCTACTTCCTCCATGTCCTATAACGTTGTTGCTGGCGAACTTATTGGTTGCTTGCTCTAGTTCTGCGTATGAGAACTGAAAGATCATTCCGTGGATTGTTTCAGGTTTACTCACGCAAAACAAAGAAGCATTCTGAAAGAAACATCCTGCAGAAACAACAAACAAGAGTTATTATTTCCTCTTTGGCATCATGTATCAAAGGCTGGACGCATCAAGGAACTAAAAATGGTTGACCTGAGAGTGAGGAGCTGAAGCTGATCTTGGGTTGTGAGATGGAACTTTTACGGGCTATTAAGTTGGCAGAGCTATGCCAGCTAGATTCTCTGTCTGAAGAGACTGAAGGGCTTTGTCCAGATATATTGCTCCTTCTATAAATGTAGCAAAACATAGAGGCAAGGAATGCTATTGAAGTAACTACAACGCAGAAGATTAGTGTAACGAGAACGAGTTTCCTTGATATAGATTGCTTCTTTAAAGGTCCTGGAAGAAACAATTAAGGAGATGTAGTTATGATATAAGTGACTATATTATTGAAGATGATGGATAGAGTTAAAGTACCAGCAGAGCAGTTGCAAGCAGTGAAGCATGAAGAGTTGGAACCGGTAACGGCTATTACTGGAAATCCATTCGCCGGACACAAGCATACCCATTGGTCTCTCTCTGCTACTTAACAGAGAGAAAGAGTCACACACTTCTCTAGAATCTTGAAAATTGGATATTTGGTGCTGAGAAAACTACTTTCAGAAAGCCAACCTGGTCTGCAATTACATGATGTGGAACACTTAGATTCCAAGATATCACTTTTATTGCCTGAAGAGAAGCACGTGCACGTCCAGTTGCTAGCACCTAAAAACAGAAACAGAAACAGAAACTTCATTTGTGTTGTCTTGAAATTCATAAGGCATGAAACTTATGAAAATAGTATTAAAGTAAGACAATAAACCTCCATAAGATAGCTGAATTGATATGAGGACTGAGAGAATCACAAGTGCGGTTTCCACTCTCATCTTCATTTATGTTTGCTGCTGCAGCAGAAGGAAATAGTTTAATATCCTAGTTTCTTTGATAGTATCTTGTAGCCAACAAGACGAACAAGTAGATACAATAAGAGGGGATTTGAAAGAAAAATGAAAAACCTTCATGTCGAATTTAGTCTTCTACTCAAAGTAAACTCAACCTGAAACAGAATTATATTTATATTAGAGAATGTTGATTAAGAACTAGAATACAAGGAGAGCTGAACTTTTATAGAAAATTTGTAGTACAAAATCTACAGTGGAATATGAATAAAATGGGTTGGTGAACAGACATCCAAAAGATTCTAACTCAGTTGCACCCACTGAGAAACAAAGTTTCCAAGATGATCAACCAAAAACATTCTATAACCCGGTCAAACAACAATCAAGAGACTCCAAAATTCAATAATGGGCCAGAGCGTAGAAGATGATACAACAAGTAACCCCAAGTAGTAAAAGATATGCGGTCACATCAACCATTTAAAGACCCATTGCCACTCCTCTAAACTTTGCAAAATTTCTACATCCCTCTATAGTTTAGTTGGTTAGATAAAGACACAACAGCAGGAGAACCGACACTAATTAGCCGACAAATTCTAACAAGAGACTCATCAAATCTGCCAACATAACTAAACAAGAGAGCCACCAATATTATGGATTAGATACATTACCCTACCAAAGTGGTGAAGTTGGAGTAAGAACAAAACTCTTTAGTGAAGTTGTGGTATCAAGAAATGGAAGTTGCAGACAAAGGATATATATGCAAAAAGAAGGAATCATGATGAGGGATATGGATTTTGTAAATCATCATATAATAATAATGAGATTAAAGAAAGGATTGATTAGCAATAGTCAAATAATGGGAAACACGAATAGAAATATAATTAAATGGGGATGAAAATGGACCAACCACCTTTAGGAAAGAAACGGAATTGCAAATCTGAGTGTGACCCTTCAACCATTAATAGTATCAAAGGTGAAGAATCATTCAAAATACTTTTCTCTAAAACCAATATTTATATCAAAAGAATACCTTTTTTAAAAACTGTTTAATAATAATGGCAAAATCTTCATTATATTATAATCAAACCTTCATAAATGTTTAAGATTGTGAATCCAGCAAAGAAATTAAGAAGCATGCAATTAAAGTAACTCTTTGCTATTTTAAAGTTAAGGATCAGACAAGAAGTAAAGAACCAAACGCTAAAACATAAAATCAAATCCGTAAACCGAGATTAGATATGTCCAAAAAGAGAAGAAGGGGGTTTGCTTTTATGAAAAAGCAAAAAAAACGTAGGTCGAAGCAAAAATGTGTCGGGACCCCCCAGAAATTCCGGTGTCGGTTGTCGGCTATCGATAACCGGTCCTTAAACCGGGTTTAAGATGTGGGACCCGGTTCCGCCATTGACCGTATCCAAAAAGCTCTTTCTTTTTTAATCGAACAGTAAAGTGAAGCTTTTTAGAGAATATCAATATAGATACCCATTTTGGAACAAAATAATAAGTTAGTAACCTTTGAAAATGAAGGAATCGTCGGCGTGAGAGAGATTATCTTTGGTGTAGCCCCAGAAACGAAGAAGACTCAAAGCTAAGCTAAAAAACGCAAACGCGAAAAAAGAAGGGAAATCGCGTTAGCTTCTGAGCTTTCCAGAGTAAAGAGATAAAGCTAATCTTCGAAGGTAGTGAATGAGAGAGAAACTGTAATCCTTTTCTCGTTGGTTAGAAATCAGAAAAAGAGAATTTGAGACAGCCAAACGCGAATTTAAAAAAAAAAACAGAGGGTATCCACGTAATAGCGTTTGCGTTTGTGTAAGATTTTGAGGTGGGAGTGACGTGAGTGTGATCACTGAACTGACATATAGAGATCGAAAGGGGTTTAAAAAAAGTTTTGTTCTTTTATGAGATCCGGGGATGTCACGTGCCACGTTGTGCTTATATTGATTATCAAATTTGCATTGGAATTCGTTTCCATTAATGCAGCAGATACAGTATATCAAATCCTGGCAGGCTAGATGAAAACATATATTTACTAGTGATTCTTTTCTTTAAAAGATTTAGAAACATTTTACTTTTGGTTTGGTTTTGTTTTCGGTTATGAAACTCGAAAAACATTCCAGAAACCCAAAACAAAAACAAAAAAAATGTTTTATCACTAGTCTTCATCTGAAAGATTGACCACACCATCATTTGACTTCTCTTGTTCTTGAACCGACGCTCTTGGATTTGTTGTTGCAGCAGCAGCAGACATGGAAGCTGGAGATGATCCATATTGCCTTAAATGAGGCGCGGGTCTCCGAGCCATGTGAGGAGGAGGGGCACGCACTAAATGAGGCGCCGGGCCACGCACTGGTGGAGTAGAAGATGGTGTCAGGTTGGAGATTACAGGTCGCGGTCTTGGCCTAGGCGTGTTGGAGAGCGGTGAATGCAGAGGAAGAGGAGCTTCTGTTGTCACTGATGGTCGAGTAAGAGGTGCTGCTGTTGTCACTGATGGTCGAGGAAGAGGTGCTTCTGTTGTGACTGATGGTCGAGAAAGAGGTGCTTCTGTTGTAACTGATGGTCGAGGAAGAGCTGTTGAATTCATGTTTGTGTTTGATTGTGCTACAGCTCGTTGAGATAATGGACTTGGTTGAGTCGTTGTGGGACGAGGGAAGCGCGCAAGAGGACGTAAATGATTTGGTGTTTGAGGTTCCACAACTGTCACTGAAGGTGGAGGAGGAGCTGTTGAGTTCACATGCGTGTGTGCTGCTTGTACTGTTTGCTGACTTGGTTGAGTCGTGGTGCTACGGCGAGGGAGATGAGGAAGAGGACCTGATGAGTTTAGGATTGGAGCTTCCACTGAGGGTCGAGGAGGTGCACTAGTACTCACATGTACGCTTGCTTGTACTCTTGGAGGAGGAGTTGAATTCATATGCACTGCTTGTTGCTGCTGAGTTGAATGTTGAGAGACCATAGCTGCTAAAAAAAGGAAAAAAGAAGAGAAGAGAAGAGAAGATAGTGTAGTTTTAGATTAATTTGCTTTCATCCAAACTCCTTTACACACAACACCATATCAATCTTTTTTTACCTCGTACAGCTGCAAGATCATTGGAAGCACTCCTCTCTGAACATTTAGATATGAAAGCGTTGGCCAAAAGACTGCCCGTTTGAACAAGACCCATATGAGCTTCTACCTCCATCACTTTGGCATCAAACTCTTGCAATTCCCTATCATACTCGCTCCGTGCTTCAGCCATCTTCCTATCGAGCTCAGCCATTAACTGTGATGTCTGCTCACAAACAACGAGACAATCAGCAGAAAGGAACGAAAACCAAGAGCATTAGAGGAGGAAACTAACCATTTCTTCAAAGCTCTTTTTTAAGTGCTCTTCTTCTAAACGTATCTTCTCCAGTTCATAGTCATATGGGTCATTAAACAAATGCCTGGGAGGAGGATTCGGTCCCGTAGTAAGATTGTTAGCAAGAGAGATGTTAGGAGACTGAACACCATTTTCATGAACAGCATCTGAACGGTTAACTACACAAAGCAACAAAGTCTTTTTAAAATTAAACTAAACTTAGACACCAACATGGCGATAACTATCCAGACCTGAAGAAGCTGTTCTCAAGGGTATTTGCTCTGAAGAAGATGTACCTTGAACACCACCCTATAGAAAAACAAAAACAAAATCAATTTACAAAAACCAAAAACATGAATCATCCCTTTTTGTAAGGAGGGAGGAAGCCAAGTAACCTGATGTGATATAGCAGAAGAAGAGCCATGAATGTTTAAGGTAGAGGCAGGGTCTGGGAAAGGAACCGCAAACATGGCATCAGAAGCATCAAGGCTTGTTCTTAAGAAATCTCCTTCTTCTTCTGCTCTAATCAAAGCTTCCTCTACAATCAAAGGTAATGGCAACTCGGGGGAGGAAGCTTCAAGAACCGGTAGCATCTCTACGTCGTCACAGACATGATCTTCCATCGACTGTTGGCAGTCAGAAGTAGTCATGTTATCAGGAGAAGTATGTACAGTGGCCTCATTCTCCGCCGTTGAAGCCATCGCTAATAGAGGAAAAGTTTTACATTTTTTTAAATGGAAGCAAAACACTAATTCATTTTTTCAGCAAAACAAGAACAAGCAAATAGGGGCAGTTTTGGATTAAATTAAAACCCTGCAAAAGTTATCAACTTTTCAAACAAAAACCTCTTTAAACTTTCCCCCAAAGTTCCTAAATGTTCAGACTCTGAAAAAAAAACAACAGTCTCAGTGATTCGAAGACTGTTTTCTGATCCGGAATCTAGGGTTTTTAGGAAACTGACGAAAGGACTTGGTTTTTTTTTTTGCGGAAACACGTAGAGGATGTTGATTTGAACAATTGTAAGTGAAAAAAAACAGCAACGAAAGAAAAAAAAACTGAGAACCCAAACCTTAGAGTGAAGAATCGAGAAGATAATCTGAAGCAATAATGTCGATTGAAACGGAATTTGAAGGTTGTGCCTCGTGTAACGTAAAGCAAGCCGTTTAAAACAAGAGTGATAGAAGTTGAAGAGACATGGTTCCTTTCCTTTCGTTCACTATGAATGTTAATAGTGGGCCGAAATAGAGCCGCTTGTGTTTTTATCAGGGTTTAATTTTTTCATTGTACAAACAAAATTATTATACGCCGCCGTTTTCATTTCTTCTGTCTTCTTTGAAGCAATAAATCGTCAGAAAACTAAGTGTAATGGACAATTATCTCAAATAGCATTTTTTTTTTAGTTTTTATCATAAAAATAGATCTCAAAAATTAAAATGAGCAAAATAATATTTTTAATTTTGAAAATTTTAAGTTTTATTTTTATTTTTTTAAATTTGAAACTTTATCCCCAAAACCTCACTTCTCAACTCTAAACAAAAAAAGTTTAGGATTAGATAATCCAAGGGATAAAAATGTATATTTAATAAAATATTAAGTGTTATTTTGGTTATTTTTATTCTCAAATGCTATATTTGTGATAAAAAAAATTTAGTATTATTCTAGTCATTTTCTCAAGTGTAAAACACCTCCCCGATGTACTTAGTGGGTTTTTTTTATTTTCCAGAGATTCGAGAGAACATTTCTTGACGAAGATAGTGAGTTTTGTATACTCTCTTCTGGGATTTAGGATTTAGGATTTTACTCTCTAATGTTTGTTTCTGAATCTTATATGAGATTTTGTGGGTTTTCATTCGTTTGATAGTGAGTGATAGATAATTAATTAGATTACTACGGCGTTGTTCTTATTATCAAACGTGAGTTTTTGTGTGAACTTGTGTGAGGTTTTTGAGTTTGTTAGCTTTGTTTAAGCCTATGGGCCCATTACTAAGCCTTGAGATTCAGTTAACCCGTATAAAAACCACGGTCGATTCGGGTTACCTAAGTTTCGTTTTCTTTATTAATTTGCTGAATTGTATCGGTTTTCAGGGGTTTTGACTTTTGGCTCATATTCGAGTAATTAACTCTTTTTTTTTTGTCGACCGAGTAATTAAGATTAGTTATATCTTTTGGTATTGTCTCTAGGAACAATTAGAGTCATTTTTGTTGGATAATGTACTAAAATTTGTGAAATTAAGATTATTTATATCTTTTGGTATTGTCTCTAGGAACAATTAGGGTAATAACCGAACCTAGCCATTATATGTTCGTCCCGTTTACGGTTTAATATGGTATTGTCCAGACATACCAACCCGGTTCTGTAATTTCCCTTTTTTCTTGTTAACAACAATCTCGATTTTTCTTTTTATTTTACAGAGATTTGGACACAGTTTCTTCTCTGGTATCGACTCGTGAGTAGCGAATCGCCGTAGCTCCTCCGCCGCCTCAAACAACAATGCCCGTAAAATGGTAAAACTCACTTCTCCAATCTCAAAACCTCTTCAATCTCCTTTAACCTAACCTCTCTTTCTTTCACTCTTTAGGGTTCTGTATTGGCAACCAAACCAAGGAACAACAGTAAGCACCCAGATCCTCAACGAAGCAACCCAATGCGTAGAAAGCATCAACGGCGTCAAAGAAGGCCGTTGGAAAGCCACTCTCAACTACTACAAACCCATGTTACGAGACCAGTCCAATCACCCTGACCTCCCTCGCGATTTCTTAGGGATCTCGCTCGCTGATCAGCCGAGTAAGTACTACTTCGTCATCAGGTCGCAGAGGATCGTTGTTGAAGCTGACGCGTCGATTCAGTTGATCATGGAGAAGCTTCAGTCTTATAAGTCGAAAGTGTCGCTTTACTTTGATGGGTTTCAGTATCAGCTTGGGGATTTTCGGGTGAGGGTTGGGAGAGTTGTTCCTGTTCATTCTGAGAGTGTCAGAGGCATTGTTATGGAGGTAATGTTGATAAAATTGCATTTTCTTTTATATTCTTTTTGAGATAATGATAGCAATGTTGATGCATATTGATGATGAAAAGTTTGTGTTTTTATTCAAATTGGAATTTTACTGTAAAAGGGTGTATCTTTATTATCTCTATTCTGATATATGGAGCTACGGCCTTTTTGATGCTATTTAGAGTGTTAAGATGGAAGATGATGAACATTGAACGGTTTGGATACAGATTGTCCTGCCTCTTGTTATCTCAGTTTTATATTGGAGTCTAAGTTTTATACAGAGTCATGAGCATTGAATGCTATTTACAGAAGTTGAGATAAATGAGTAGCAATTTTGATGCGCATCTAGGTGATGGGAAGTTTTTTTTTTTTTTAATAAAAAAAAATATCCAAATTGTCTTGTTTTATGGTGCTATGATCTTTTTGTGATGATCCTAACGTTAGGATAGATGATGGTGCAATTAGAAGATGAAATCTTTGTTTTTTATACAAATTTGGTTTCTTGCTGTAATCTCAGTTAGGTGTCTTGGAGGTGGTAGGTTGTAAGTACAAGCAATGTGTGTGTATCAAATTGTCTTTGTTAACAGAGAGTTTCTTGCAATCTTAATGCAGAAGGGTATGTCGGGTTATAACTTTTTAAGTGCTGATTTTTAATACTATTTACAATCTTAAGATAGGTGATAAACTTTTTGAACAATGTTGATTCATCTAGAAGATTAAATTAGATTGTCTTGTTTCTTGTAGTTATAACCTTTAGGTGTTGATCCTTAATGCTATTAAGAATATTTAGATAGGAGATAATGAACATTGAACAGTTTTGGTGCATTTAGAAAATGAAATTCTTTTGATACAGATTGCCCTGTCTCTTGTAATTTCGGTTTTAAGATTGTAAATTATTTTGCCATTCGTCTTTATTGATGATTCTCTACGCTATTTACAATGTTCAATATAAAGGATGGACTTTAGAAGATGAAATCCAGATTGTTCATGTTTCTTGTGATCTTAATTTGCTGTAACTAATGGGTGTGGTTGTATCTATTCAGGTGGAGTATCTTCCTATTTCATCAATGGAGAAGTCGAGAAAAGTGATGGAGGAGTTCGTAGAGATATGGCATGAAGCGCTGTCTAAAAGGTCGTTGTCAGGAAAGTTTGTGAACATAGAGCTCAACTTTGGGGAGTTTGGACTTGCAGATACCTACACTCCACAGCACACTGGTGTTCAATATGCTATCGTCATGGCTCACATGATTGCAACGGTTCAACCTGCAAGAGGCTAAACTAAAACACAGCATCCCGTTGTGATGTTAGTGATTTCCTAGTTCAGTTTTATAATATAACGTTGAGAATATGTATGTTTAGAAGAGTTAGAACTCATTCTTCGCATATTTAAAAACAAATCCATGTTCTAGAATCTTTATCTTGTTAAGATGAGTGATAAAAGATGGCCAACTTAGACCAACAATACCTGTACCGATCGTGTTAAACCCTGAGTCGTTGTGGGAACATCCAATAGTGGCTTCATGCATCACAAATGATTAGCCTGGAGTGGATTTGATAGTGACGGTCTCGGTCGCATATGTTCCTTTCGAGTAGCTTTGGTCTGATCCACAGATCATCTCATAAGGACAAGAGTGATCATGGGTTTTGCATGTTTTGTCCTTGTATGTCATGGACTTCGAAGGGTCTAATACTGGATTGCGTTGGTAGAAGCAGACAAGATATAGCAAACATTGTAGTCTCATAAGATACTCGGGGGTATACAAGAGGGTTTCTGCATAGAGATCATCAGGATTAAGTAAATGGTGAAGCCACCGAGAGGGGATAAGGCTGTTGTTGGTGTAATGATTTGGAGAGAAGACAATTAACGATTATTTGTGTTGCATGAGACATCCTGATCGAATAATGTTTGGTTTTGAAACACGATTAAGAGAGAAGATGTAATTATCGAATAATCCTGGTGGCAAAGCCAAAAATTACTGTGGTACAACCGTACACAACTCTGGTCGTTTTGGGAGGTCAAACTCTTCTAGGGGTGGGCACGGATCGGATATCCGGGTTTTCAAAGGTATTTGTGATTTGTTTTGTATATTACAGATATCTGATTTTAGTATTTGCTTTGCTTCGGAAAAAATACGGATATCCGGAAAAACGGATATCCGGAAAATAAATAGATATTTGCGGATAGTTACAAATACTTACGAATATCTCTTCGGTTACAAATAATCTTAGAAATTTGATATAAATTTATTTTGTAAAATGTTTTTGCATGATATATAAAATAAAAAAATAAAGGAGTAGTGAATTTACATATTTTATAATTTTTTTAAGTTTAAGTTAACAATTATAATAACACAAAACTTAAGATTTGTTTTTATAATTTTCATAATTTTCTCTTCTTTTTATCTAATACTTTTATACAAGTAATAATGTGAATATAATTAGTCAAATCATAAGCTATAATAATAATTTTAGACATTTAAAATTTTCAATATAATCAAAATATACATGTATTTATATATTTCCGAATCGGATCGGATATTCCCTTCCCAAAATTTTAATATTTGTGATTTGCTTCGATCCTAACGGATATTGATTTTTAGTATTTGCTTGATTCGAAAATTTACGGATATCCAGAATTTTTGGATCAAATCCAAACGAATAACGAATCGAATCAAATTTAACGAATAAAATGCCCAACCCTAAACTCTTCTTTACCAGCTTGGGAAGACTATGGTCAGTTTTTTCAAAAAAAAATGACTATGGTCAGTAGGCCCACCAATAAGCAGGATCCTCCTCCCAACCATTTTATAAATTTTGGGAGGAAATTTAAAATATACCCAAACATATTTTCTCCGTTACATAATAAGATGTTTTAGGAAAAAAATTGATATTTTAAATTATAAAAGGTTTGGATTTATAACTTTAACTTTATAAACTAACTGATTGATCAGTAATATTTTACAGCATTAGTTATGATTGATTAATTCATTTTAAATTTATATTATTAATGATATCATCTTCTAAAATTTTATTTAATTATTTTTGTTTTTAACTAAAACATCTTATATTATAAAACGGATTGGGTATAAAATATGTATTCCTCTGTTTTTATAAATGTCATTTTAGGTTATTCATCTAGATTAAAAAATATTTAATTTGATATATTTTCTAAATATAACATCATTAACCATCTATCTAGTTATAAATTAACCAATAGAAAAATAGACTGCATAATCTATATTATAATGAGAGAATTTCTTCTTTTCTTAAGGTGTCCACATCACCAAGTTATTGGTTCCACAAATTAAAAAAAAAATTAATTTCATTTTGTAAGTGATTCTTTTTTATAAATTTGCATAACTCTAAATCACTAATCATGTTTTGGAATATGTACCATGTTAGAAAAAAAAATATGTAGTGATGGAACATGTAAAACTATATTTTATTCTTGACTATTGGTTTAATATATTGTTTGACCATTACTACATTTTCTTTGATGTAAACTTAAAAATCTCAGTGATAATAGCTAATTCTTTTTTCGTAACATGCAAACGTACCATCTTTTACTTCAAATGTTAAATTCTAAATGAGGTTGAAAAAAGATAAAGGTAAACAATTAATCTCAGAATATTATTACTTATAAATAGCATGAGTTATATGCATTTTACTATTCAATATAATAAATTCTGAAAAATGGTAGAAATTAAAAGAGGATAGGGGAAAACTTTAGATTTAAGTATGAAACAAAAACCAAATACACACAAAATTCAACAAGATTCATTCTGTTTTTTTTTTACGTTGACTGAATCCTATTGTGATTTTTTTTGCAGACTGAATAGCCTCAGAAAGGCGGAGATGGCTAGAGAATAGAATCGTGAGGGACAATATTGGACTTCGAAACAAAAAGTTATGCAAGATTCTTGACTATGTATATAATTTTTATTACCATGTTACGCATTTCTAAAAAGCAATCAATCGTCATGAGTTGAAGGGCAAGGAAGGGATATGATCGTTTGGTTTTCAAAGAAGTAATTAAAGAGTAAGAGTTAAATGCTCTAAAGCTCTATTTTCTTTTCTTTTCAGAATAAAATTTTAGATTTTTTTTTTTTGCAAATTAATTTTAAACTAAAAGTTAAAGTCATTGTGAACTGGTCTTTTGAGATGAATATATTTTTACATTCTTTAGAAATATATAATTATAAACAATCAATGATAAACCTTTAAAAACACCAGCAAAAACACAAACACTATAGTAAAATCCTAGGAAAAAAATGGAGGACTACCAATTTTTTGGAAAAAACAATATCATTACCCAAATTTAAGTTTATTAGCCAATATCTATAAAAAACAAGGCAAATGAATCTCGAGCTTGTGTGGAGTATGATCCCTAGTATAAAGAATGATATAATATAAAAAGGGCTTATTTGCCATATAACCAAGAAAAAAAAAGAAAATTAGATTTTTAGGAGAGAGAGTAGAGAGAGATAGGAAGAGAGAGTAGGAGAGAGAATGAAATTTTAGCTATTTAGTGAATTTATGTTTTTCTTATGTCTATAGGGTGCAATTTCTCATATAAAAAGCTAATAACTTTCATATTGGTAATTAAAAAATGTCATGTAATTTGAAACAAATAAAATTTCTAAAACGTTATTGTTGTGAACAAACACGAATTAGTAAATTCGAAAAAAACAAAAGAGAGCAGAAACATATTAAGGCCAATATCCGTTTAGGATTTGTATACTATTATGTGAATAAATAACTTTGCAATGTCTTGATCCATATTTATAGCAGTCTCAAAATCCAATTTTGTTTTTCTATACGAATACATATTTATATAGAAAAACTAAATTTTCTTAACGAAAAAAACATATTATACCAAGGGATATACGGCCCCTACATCTCCAGATGTCAACTTTTATAATGTCTAAAATGTCCTCATTTGGCCGGATTATGTCTAATCTAACAAATACAAGATTTTTACTTGTGTACAGAAATTTAAGAAACTTTCAAATATAATAGTCATGTATTTGAAAACAGAGGGAGTAATTTATAATCAAATTATAAAACAATAATTTCTATAACAATAAATAAAAATCTAGTAAGTTCCGTATCATAAATGTAAACATCAAGATATAAAGTTAAAGATAGCCTTTAAACATCAATTATAACTTGACCCGTACGTCCGTAGGGGTACTTGTTTTATTTTATATAATATATGAATATTATTTACATGTTTATCAGTTAATATTCTAAATATTTATCAGATTTTAAAATTTTTATAAACATAATAATCAAATATTTTATATGCTGTAAAAATAGTGACCCGTGCGCCTTACTAAACCTTCGACAAGTATTAACTTATTGATTTATATGTTTGAATATTATTTTTTTTACGCTGAGTTGTTTTCTAAATATAATATTTTAAATATTTTGATTAGATATGGAGCCATGTGGTGAGATTTAGATACACTAGAAAAATAGTTTTTGATCGTAAATATTAAATATTGCTCTAGAAATAATTCAAAAATAGTTAACTTCTAATATAATAGATTTTATTGTTGAAAATACTCAATAGTAACCTAGATGGTCAAACATATATTTTGAAAATTTTGAAATATATATAATTTTAGTCGACATTTAGTTATATTAAAAAAGAATATTTGTAAATACTGTGCAAGTCTAAGAGGTATTTTTATGGGTACTTCTATTTTAATAAAGTAGATGAGGTTCGGTTGTTCAAAAAGAGAAAAAGAATATTTGGTTACAAACATTTTATATTCTTCTGCAAATAATATAAAGATTTTTAAATCTTAGCATATATAGATTAAATAATCAATGGTAATAGTAACGGTTAAACATATCTAAGAGGAATATTTGTTTTTTTAAATATTAATATTAATTTTAAATTTGAATTTTTCAAAATAATTAATGGTAACAATATCCAAGTTTAGTGCTGTTAAAATCAATTTTAAAATTTAATATTCCTAAAAATTAGCTAAATCATTTTAAGAAATATGCTAAACACAAAAAAATTAGTTAAAATTGATTAAAAGTATTTAATAAAATAGGAAAAGATAAGGATTATTTATAAAAAATATAGGTTCATTAATTACTTCAGTGGCATTAAATTGTAAATATTATGTAAATTTTAGAGGTATTTTTTTATGAGTACTTCTATTTTAATAAAGTAAGACTAGATTTTGATCCGCGCTTAGAAAACGCCGGTTTTTTTATTATGAACAAACTTTCTTATGATTTAGTATTTTGAGATTGTTATACATTATTATGTTACAAAATTGTATTACATCAAAGTGTTAAATTTTTTTAAAATTATATAATTTATGAGTTAGATTTTTTTGATTTCTTACGTACATTTTAATGCAACTCTCTCTTAGGTTTGGGCATTTTATCTGGATCCAAAAACCGACCAAAAAATATAGGTTTTATTCGGATCGGGAGCAAAGAACACCCTGGGTATTTTCTGAACCCGCAATCTTGGTTCAAGTCACATCCTACCTAATATCCGACCGGATAACTTACATACCCGAAATGTTGTGTATATTAGGTATATTTGAGTATTTCGAATATGTTTCTGGTATTACAATATTCTTTTAAGTTCTAGGTTCGGGATTTTAGTAATAGTTTGGGGTTTCATGTAAAATTTCAAATTTCTTAAAATATATTTTGGGTATTTGGATTAAACTTTGTGGGTATTTTCGTTCATTGGATCAGATTTGGGGTAAAATTTATATATTTTGAGTATTTGAATATTTTTGGGTATTTGTTTGATTTTTTGGCATTTCGGGTTTTAAATATTTTCTTGGGTTTTCAGATAGTTTGAGTATTTTTCGGGTCCGAAATAAACCGACCAAGACCCATTACTTTCCCAACTACATATATTTGTTTATCTGTATTTGAATTATGGACGCAAACCAACCCAGACTTGAAATGAACCCACCAGAATTCAGACCAAAAACTTTCAGATATCTAATTGAGTTCAAATATTTAGAACTTAAAGAACTCGGATCTAAAAAATCGACTCTTATAAGATCCAAAGACCTGAATGCTCATGCCTACTCTCATTTATTATATTTTGTGTGTGTTTTGTAAAAGTTATTTTTGTTCAATTGGCGAGATTTACAATTTATTTAGAAATGTTTTAGCTAATTTTATCTTATTTATTTGAGGGGTTTTTCATAGTTTTTAAACTTACCTTTAATTACAGTTTTTATAATATATATTTTATAAAATTTAATTTAGCATAAAACATATAATTTTGTTTTAACAAATGATTTCTAAAGTGTTTTTATCAGATTTGATTTGTTAAATATTTGAATTATAATGTAAGAGGACATGGTATAATATGTGCTCTCATTTTAATAATTGATATCTAAATATTATAGACCCATTATTAAGCATAAGATGTGGAGTATAATGTTACTGTATAACAACTATAACATTGGATGATAAAAATTAATAATAGGTTTGTCTAAAATATATAAATAATTATACAGTTTGAGTAGTTAATGGAATGAAAATTTTATATAGGGATCTTTTTATAATAGATTTTAAAATATTTTTATTTTAATAGTATAAATTTTCAAAATCGTATTTATAATAAATTTTTAACAAAATATGCTGACTATATTTAGATATACTATTAAACTAAAGTACGCAAAACTTCCTATAAAATCATATTGAAATTATTAAGTGTTAATCAACGAGAAGCTATAATGTATATAATGTTTGTAGATAAATATTTCAAAAAGATCAACATAAACATTCAAGGAGCTTTTTTATTTTAAGAAACAGAGTTCGATTAAAAAATGGTAACCTGTTTGCATAGTTAGACTTGGTGGCACCAAAGCACAATATAAAGAATGTAGTGACGTGTTGCATAGTTGGACTTGGTGACACCAAAGAATAATATAGTTTTGATATTGGATTTCATTAGTCACGCTATGGACTCATGAGACACTTTTTAATTGGATGATGATATATAATCTTTGGTGTATTATGTCGAGTAATAAATTTAAGGTAACTGATAAGAACATTGATTATTGTATAGTTAGAAAAATATAAGATAACTAATAATAATATAGTTAGAGAAATATAAGGTAAGACAAAAAATAATAATTAGTTAGTGAAAGGGTCCAAAATGATTTTCATAGGCAGATTTATTTAAACTTCTTCTTTTTTAATAGTATTGACTAGATCTCGACCCGCACAACAGTGTGAGTATTTTAATATGAAAATATTTGAAATTATATAATATTTTCTCTTTTTAAAATTAGATGATATTTTAAAAGATTTATTTTGTTTCAAAATATAAGATGTTTTGAACATTTAAGGTTTATTTTTAAGTTTCAAGGTTACTTTTAACTTTATTGGAAACTATTTAACCGATAAAATTTTATTATTTTTAATAATTTGTTGAATGATTTGAAAATTATATCTTTAAAAATACCTTTGTAAAAGATGTAAATTTCTTAATCTTTGTGTAATGATCCAAAACATAATATATTAAAAAACAGAGAGAGTAAAATTTATCAATAAATAAATCTAATTTGATGAGGTATAATATCCAATTTTATAATAATATTTATGTGAATTCTAATATTATTAATATAAAATTTATAAATTTGTATTTTTGTAACAATTTTTAAAACATTATTATGTAACATTACTAATTTATATATTTTATTTTATTTCAAAATTTGAAATATATGTAAAAAATAAATTAAGTTGGCTGATATTTTAAAAGATTTATTTTTTTTCAAAATATAAGATGTTTTGAAAATTTAAGGTATATTTTGAAGTTTTAAGGTTATTTTTAACTTTTGGAAACTATTTAACCGTAATTTTTTACTGTTTTTTAATAATTGGTTAAATGATTTTAAAATTATATTTTTAAAAATACATTTGTAAAAGATGTAAATTTCTTAATTTTTGCGTATAGATCCAAAACATCATATATTAAGAAACGGAGAGAGTAAAATTTATCAATAAATAAATCGATTTTGATTATATATATACTATCCAATTTTATAATAATATTTATGTGACTTATAATATTATTAATATAAAATTAATAAATTTGTATTTTTGTAACAATTTTAAAAAAAAACACAATTATGTAACAGTACTAATTTATATATTTTATTTTATTTCTAAATTTGAAATATATGTAAAAAGTAAATTAAGTTGGACCTACATAACACATTAACAAAATATTGGGATATTGTTAAAAGTATTTTACACAATTTTAATTTTTTGTTTATAAATAAAGAATGAATTAAATTTTTAATTATATTTTATGATAATAAAAAATTTAATCAAATAATTTTTGAAACTATATCTTGAAAAGAATCTAAAAGATTTTGTTAGAATTTTCTTTAAACTATTTATTTGTATTTCAAATAAAAATTAAAGAAATGAAAAGATATTATAATAATGTTGTGTAAAATTGTATAAAATTTCTAATGATGATCCAACTAAAAAAGTTACACATAGAGTCAGTCATATCTTCTCTTTTAATAGAATAGATTATGTTAATAAACGTCTGTAGGGCCGTTTAAGATAGGGTAATTGCTGCATTGGGCGACACTAAACCTACCGATATTTAATTAGTGATCGATAATGCTTTTTACATTGATTTATGAGATATAAGATGATCTTAGGTGTCGTCAGGAAACATAGCTATCGTTTAATTAGTGCAAGTGTGTAATTATTCCGTAACATTCATTTTGCTTACATATTCTTGCCATACCTACAAAGATTGTCGGTATTCATCCAAATTCTTGTAGTAGGCGTAATTCACATATTCTTTGAAAAGGTCACTTCAACATGAATAATAATGAATAGAAGGTCTTTTACAAACAAATATAATATTGCATAGAAGGTCGTGGAAATAACGGAATGAGATGGGACACCAAAATATAATCAAGAAACACATCCTTTATTTAGTATTGCACACATACAATATTTTGTAAAAATAAAATGAATGAAGTGTATATTGTATCTGATTCAGTAAGTTGTTGGTCTGTATAGTTTCACCACACGCTTATTTATAGGTTGAACCGGCCTTGCGTTTGTATTTGAATCCTACAAATTATTTTATAAACATAATATATATCACTTCCCTCTCATATATAGTAAGGATTAATTTCATTAAGTATGTATTAAGTTGTAGATTGTATTTAAATAAAACTTACATCATGAACAGCCACTCGGAGTAGTCTCACTTGGTTTCTCGCCACGGTCCTTACCTAACATCATGGAAACAAATATAAACGAATTAAGAATGTAAGTGTCATAAACTAAGAGTGAATATATAGTATTTACCTTTTTGACGACGGTCCAAGTGATATTTTGCGTACAAGGAGGAGTGGTCAGTGATCCAACATATCTATAGTATTTTCTGCTCCCAATCTGAATCTCCTTTGGATCAATCATTCCTATATTAAACTCTGCGGCATTTTGATCTCTCATCGCCGACAATTTCTTTTCCAACTAACCAAAAACAAAGAAGAAAATTAGTTGAAAATAATTATTATCAGAATCTCTTAAAAGCTTATTACTATCATAGCCAGTCTTTTTTTTTTGCTAAAATAATATCATAGCACGTTATGGAACTATTTATACCAAGGTGAGAAAAGAGTCTGGTCTTCCAATTTTGTAGAGCACTGTGACTACAGCCATACTTCCGTTAGTGCTTTCGTGAACCATATGTAGTTCCATAGCAAACCTGCCATAAAAGTATAAAAACATTAGGTATTACGTCTCTTTTGTTCCTTAATTTCTTGTTCCTATAAATTGTGTAAGACTCTATAATCGTAACTATACCTCTAGTTTTTTTTATTTTTTATTTTTATATTGTAAAAGGCTTTATACCTCTAAGTTTAGCTTAGTGTAATATCAGAAGTTGAAAGTATATTTGTATGAACTTTCATATATAAATGTAATTTGACAAAAATAAACTTTCATATTAAAATGTGTGTTTAGAATGTTGCGTACCTTCTTCCATTGATCGTATGTTCAGAGGGAGAATGCCAATGAAGCTGTAGGAGTTGGTATTCATTACCATTGATCTTAATACTTCCTGGTCTTTCTTCAAACCTTAGCTGCGACCAAACAAATAATAAGAGTATATATAAAAAGAAAGTCCAAAAACTAAGAACTAAGAGCGTGTGGTCCAGTGTTTTCCGAGTAGGTAGATGACTCTTGTCATGTCTCATATGGATTGAGGCTAGGGATCAAGTCCCATCATCTATAAAACATTTATGTGGGTTTCTCTATAGCACTGTAGATGTTTCAAATGCCTCTAGGATTAGTCCTATTCGGTTCTAAAAGTATGAAGGATCTATAAATGTGTAATAATACCATCATGTCATGGCCTCTATTTTTGAGAGAGGCATTGCAAGGTTTGTAGTTTCTCGTCAGCTTTCCAAGATGAGAAACAATTCTAACTCTTTCGTTCATAAGATCAATGGGAGATTGCATCTCTCCTTTTCCACACATTTTCCATTCCGGTTTTAGTTTCCCCCATTTCTCTGGCCCGTTCTCTACGTTCTGTTCGTAGCTAAATTCACTTTCATCCTCTACACACACCCATCCATCAATTATAGTTAATAGTTTTTCATAAAAGAAAGAATAAACTTGCAAGGAAAACAATGAACCAAGATCCTATGTATAGCTTACCAACTTCTCTTTGAGCATCCGAACATGAAATAAAAGTGACGATGATTGTGCTAAGTATGAATAAGAAGCACTGGATTGATGATCTATCCATCTTTGTTTGTCAGAGAGACAAGAGCAAGAGAAATGTATAAAAGAGAGATATGAGTTGGATAATTGTTTTGTTGGATCCACGTTTGGATGCATAATATATAGAGGGTGAGATAGGTATGTGAAACGTCACGTTAATCGTCACGTTTTTTCCTTTTTGCTATTTAAGTTATTTTAATGTCAACCGAGACGACATGTTTGACTTTAGTTGAAAACATGCTTTCATCTCCCTTTCCTATAGATTTTTATAGTGTTCGCTAGATGTTTTCTTAATAATTATAAAAAGTTTTTTTTTAATAATTATAAAGAGTTTTTTTCTTAATATGGTATGATTTGAAATCATACAGACCAACGAAAGAAAATAACATAAGAACATCAGAAACTATAGTTTTGAATTTTTGAGTTTGCTAGATTTATTTATATTTATAACTTATTCAATTTGTCAAGACAATTTTTGAACGAACCGACCAAGTTTATGTAGCTAAGCATTTTCCGAAGAAAACTTTTTAGATTCACAAAACACCCAAGAGGCTTTCAGTTTTCATATTAACGCTTTTTATGTCATCGTTTACATTAACAAACATACATATACATATTACCAGATTCCAAATCTAGATTATGATATCAGTTATTTCTTAGTTACTGAATTTCTTAAGCAGAATAAAAACTAATTAAATGAGAACAAAAAATCAACACCATCTCAATTCAATTATCTAAAATCTATTCGTGCCAACTTTAAATTTGTTTATATAGTAATTTGGTTACATAATTTATTTACACACGTGTTTGTGGGAAGTTGATATTAGGACGCATGCTTCACATTGTTTTGGTCTGGTAGTTACTACCATACAATGCGCCAAAGAATGTCATAGATATGTACAGTTGAATAAAATTTCAAAGATCCAAAAGCTCTGAAAATTTATTCATATTGTCGAAATTTTTATTTCTAAGCAAAAGAAAAAAATTATCCAAATTAAGAACAACCGTTGGAAGCATAAATTTCCTACTACTCTCCTCTTGTGAAACTCATGTATCCATTAAAAGAAAATTGATGCATATAAACAAACTAACCGATCTCTAAAATTGTAACTAACTCACATAGTATCAATATGGTATAATCACGCATGTGTAATCAATACTCATGTCATATGCAAAAAATATTAAATATTTGTTTTCATTATTAAAATTTTAATAAAATCCACTACTATTATTATAAATAACTTCAAACCACTAAATAAGTAAACAATACTTGGGGTTTTAAGCGGTCGCTCCGCTTGTCTACTATGGCAGGGGTAGGAAAGAAATTTAGGGGGGGGGGGTCAATTTTGAAATTAGCTTATATTATACGAACTGACAAAAAAAAAAAGAAGCTTATATTATACGAGTCAGTTAGCTAAAATTTACAAGATTTCTCTATTTTTTCAAAGAATTATACAAGTAAAGATCTATTTTTAAAAAGTTCACCTGGATCAATTGACCCACGTGACAACACTGTGGCTCCGCCACTTTGTCTACAAACAATCTCGATTGTAATAGTTTTCTTCCGCTGATTGAGTGAACAAGATGAGATGAGGATTGGAATAATTTATTTCACTTTCTCCCTTTCGTCACAGATTTAAATACATTTCATATATTATACATATGAATATATACCATCATGATAGAAACTGTAGTACTATATACTCTAGTTCTTCAAAAGACGGTAGTCACGGTACAGTACTCTATGAGAAGGCCAATATAACTTGTCGTCAATGTTATATTGTTATTTCAGTGTGAAATCAATATCAGCAAATTAAGTTTCGCGTAGATATACAGTGATGTGAAGAGGAGGAAAATTCTCTGGCGATTGGGAAGCAAACATGATAAACTGTTGATCTTTAAAGACTCTACTAGTCCAAATAATTTAATAATTTAGTTAGGAGGTAGCTTGTTTGTTGGTTGAACACCATACTATTTTAGTGGGAATTCGACTAAAAAAAACACAAACTTTGCACAAATTGCTAAAAGAAACCTAAATATATTGACTGGCCAAAAGAAACCTGTACTTTTCTTGACTTTGTTTGTTTATTAAGAAACTTACGGTTGACTTACCATTTTAATACACCGTTAACCCAGTTAACATATAATTTAGACGTTGTTAAGTCGACGTTAATCTTGACGTCAAGTAATAAAACGACGTCGTTTTAGGTAGCTTTCGTACTAAAAAAATAGTGCTTCTCTCGCGACTTGAACCCATGAAATCGTAGTCAATGGGAGGGGGTTTGCCACTGAGCTAGTGGACTTTACATTTTATTGACAAACATAATTCATTTTAACATATAACATCTTAAGTTCTTAATAAAACATATACTTTTATTTGGTACTAATTAAATATAATTTGTTTTTTTGTAAAAACTTAAAATATTTTTAAAGTTCAAAAAATTGAAAAAATAAAGATTTTTTTTATAAATTTAATTTTGAAATTAAAATAAAAATAAAAAATCTTGCAAAAAATCATTTTTAATTCCAAAAAGTTTAAAAATTCAAAGAAAATTCAAAATTTTCATTTAAAAATCCAAGATTGCTAAAAGTTGAAATTCATTATACACACATCAATTATATCTACATATTAAAATAAATTAAAATGCTTAAAATAAATATTGTTTTAATATTTAGCTGATACTTGTAACTTTAATTTTTTTTGTATTTTCTTTGAATTTTTTAATTTTTTTAGAATTTAAAAACAAAAACTGAAAATTTTGGAAGATTTTTGATTTTAAGAAAAAAATAAAATTTTATTTTGAATTTTAACTTCAAAACTAATTTTATAAATAATTTCTTTATTTTCATTTTTTTGCAATTTTAAAGATCTTTTTAACTTTGTAGAGAGTTTTTATATTCAATCACTACTAAATAAAATTAAATGTGTTAGAAAATCCATTGAAAGCGCCACTAGCCATGGCAAAAATAATAAGCCATTTGATTCAACCAACCCGAGTTCAAATCCAAGGGTCTACATGTTTTATTTTCAAATTACGTAAAATGACGTCGTTTCATCTCTTTTAAAAACGACGCCGTTTTAAGTAACCCCAACATTTAACGTTGACTTAACACGGTTATAACTGCTTGTTAACGGTGTGTTAAAATGGCGAGTCAATCGTAAATTTTTTGATAAACTAGCCAAGTCAACAAAAGTATAGGTTTTTTTTTGCTAGGCTCGAGTACATGTTTCTTTTGGCAATTCGTGCAAAGTTCGTGTTTTTTTGGCCGAATTCTCCTATTTTAATATATTTTACATAAAAAAAAAAAAAGAAGTTTCGCTTTGCCCAAAGCAAGGTCAAAAAAGCAATTTCAAAATTTTCCGGTATGATAAGCTATTGAACAATGAAATGATCCTTGAATTATCTTATCATAGCTGGTGGCAGAAAACCCGTTAAATATAAGTACATAAGCTGGTCCAATACTATACATGAAGTAGACTGAAATCGTACGAGTTTAAAATAATACTAAATCTGGCGCGGATGTAAATTTTCTAATTTTTTTTTTCTCATAGATAGTTTGTTTTTATTTTGTATATTATAATCACATATATTCAAATATGTATATGGATTTTTTTCAAACATAAGTATGTGATTCCATTTATTTGTTTTTCATCAAATTAACAACTTCAAATTAAGATGCATTTGTATCTTCTTTTATGTATTTTAGCTTGTTGAATTAGTGTTTGACTATTAAACTCATGAACTTTTGAAATGTGTTTAGTAAAATAAATAATTATTTTGATTTCAAAAATATTGTAACATTTCAAATAAAATTAAAGTCAGGCAAAAAAGTATATCTTATTACAATATAATTATAAACTAATTAATTAAATATTAAGTATTATTTATTTGTTGTTTTAAAAAAATGAATTATCAAATATTAAACAAATAACATTGACCCACGCTATAAAAGCGGGAGATATTTTGTAAGGAAAATTTTTATTAGAACATCACCAAGAAGAAACCTCATTTTAAGGGTGTATAATCCTCAAAATGAGGATTTGAGGGTAGGTTACTCCAAGAAAAAACTTCAAATTTATCTTGAAAGTTTTATATTATTTTCATTTTAGTCCCAAACTTTAATCTAAACTAATTATAATCACTAAAGTTTATATAGATAGATAATACTACACATTTAAAAAATAATTAAACACTATTGTTGAATATTAATTTTTATTTTATTTTAGCATATTTATATATTTTATGTATTAATTATACATATAAATATAAGATATATTTGAATACTTCAGACAAATATAGTTATAAAATATAGTAACAAGGAGTAAAGTGATAAACAAATTAATAAAGTATAAATTTACGTAAGCTACATAATTATAAAGATTAAATTGTAAAGTAAATAGTGTTTTGAGGGAATGAACAGTGGATCCTCAAATTTGAGGGTCTACTGTTCATGTACTCAAATTTTGAAGATTTGAGGGTCTCTTGGAGAGTCAAAACCCAAAATTTAAAGGTTTGAGGGTCTCCTGAAAATGCTCTTAATGATGTTACAATTTTTTTTTTAATTTTACAATATTTTGTCTTTTTAAAACATTTTAATATTTAAATCGCTTTTAACCCGATTTAGACATGTGGTCAAACCAGTACACTCAGTGACCAATATTGAATCTGATTTTAATTTTAAGAAATATGTATTATTAAAATACCTCATAAACCCTGCAAGAATGCTAAAGCCCAAGAAAATAATCAGTTGAATGGATGTGTGATTGATATGTAACCAGTTTAATGTAAATTTTTATTTTTAAAATTTAACATTTAATTTAAGTGGTTTAAAAAAATATAAATTTCAGTTTTTTTCATTCCATATGTACTTATTAATTTTAATTTTAATTTATTTTTATTATATGTCGTAATTCAACTTGTTACAAAAACATCTAAATTATATTTTTATAACTATAATTTGAAACAGAAAATAAAAAATATTTAAAATTTTACTATATTATTTTATATAAACATACTTTTTCTTGTATTTTTAATATATATTTATAT